CTGGCACATGAGGGGCAGCTAGAGTGAAAAATCCCAGAGCTTGCAGGTGTGGCAGGCAAGAGTCAGAAACCTGAGTGCTCACTGGTGTGGCAGAGAAGAACTCCAAGAGCTAATGATGTGACGGGCAGAGAGGAATCTCGAGAGCTCACAGGTGTAGTGGGAAAAGAAGAACCATGAGAGTTCACAGGTGTGTTGGGCAGAGAGGAACCATGAGAGCTCATGGGTGTGGTGAGCACAGAAGAACCATGAGAGCTCACAGGTGTGGTGGACAGAGAAGAACCATCAGAGCTCATGGGTCTGGTGGGCAGAGGAGAACTATGAGAGCTCATAGGTGTAGCAGGCAGAGAGGAACCATGAGAGCTCACAGGTGTGGTAGGCAGAGAAGAACCATCAGAGCTCATGGGTGTGGTAGGCAGAGAAGAACCCAAGAGCTCATGGGTGTGGCAGGCAGAGATGAAACATGAGAGCTCACAGGTGTGCCACACATAGTAGACTCCTGAGAACTCACAAGTGTGTCAGACAGATTGGGAACACCAAGAGCTCACAGTGTTAGACAGCATGAATTTTATCCCACAGTTATTGGTGGTAGTTGGGTGGATGATCAGATTCTTACCTTAGACAGTTCATTTGGCAGGGGATAGTCCTGGGGCCCAGTGGGAGGCAGGAAGAACATGGAGGAGTCCGGGGCTGTCCAGATGAGGGATGAGCAACACCTGGACTGAGCAGAGGACACGAGGTGGGATGGAGTAGCCAGGGACCATTAGGGAACTACCTGGGTGTTCAAATCAGTATTTAAGGTTCAGAACGAGCATGCTTCTAGATTCCTGTTTGGGGAAATAAATGGTTGACGTTTAAGGCTGACAATGCCTTCACCAAAGCTGAGTTTCTACATCCATGGCTCTTTCCTGGTGGACCACCCACACCAGGGCAATGTCCTCCCAACAGTCCCTCCTATCACCACTCTTGTCCAGGGCCACTGCCAACACATGAGTCTTCTCATTTCAAACACATATCTTTTAATAAGCATTTACTTTACCTATCTTACTTTTAATAAGCACCTTTATCTCCTATGGGGTCCATCCAGGTCTTTGTATATTTTAAAACCAGAGTTGACTGAAAAAGCTTTCTCTGGCTCATATTATAAACTTCACCAACTCTGGAATTGGCCTTTTGAGTCTCATTTTGATTCATATAGAAATTACTTTGTAGTCAAGAGTCACAGAATCCTAACTTCACAGGATTCTGAAGCTCACTTTTCCTGTGGCCAGGCCTCCAGAACTTCTGGGAGGAAGGCCACTCTTGGTTATCTTACAGCAACTTTTTGGGCAAGAGGGATGCCCGTCCTCATGCTGAATGTCAGGGCATCACTGTGCATGTCTCACTTTGAGGAACTGTGAATGTCTAAAATCCACCTTTATCTGAAGCACAGAAAAGTTATTTCCCCCCTCTTCTGTACTCATTGAAACTGAGTTTTGGGCCCCC